ATAGCGCGACATCACCCAATGTCATCGTTTAGTATTCACTAACTTGAAATCAAGAAATCCACACAAACCCTCGAATTGAATTAATCTGGTGACCATTGGTGACTAGCTTCGAAAGGTGATTCCTGAAGTTCCAATGATAAGTCGAAACCAGTGGGGCGAACATGGTGGCTGTGAGGACAAATGCTCATCGATGACATTGGATGGTGGTTACGCTATGTCTTGAACTATTAGGAGTTGGAAATATGGACCATTTGCTTCCGACCCAGTGGCTCATTGGCAACGTGTTAGCCATGGAACCTGAAGGCCCTGGGTTCGATTCCTGGTGGGACAGTGTCATGGGTGCGCACTGCTGAAGAGTCCCTTACTAGGACGAAACAATAAGTGTCAAAATTTCGTATTCAATTTAAATAGGACGCTATAGGATAAAAAAAGTCAAACTAGTCATCGTTGTGAATGTCATAACAAGTTACGTCTTGACTTTTTATCAGTGAGCTTTCCGTAGCACTGGGTAGTTAAATTAGTTTGAACAGTCTGCCTACAATGTCGTTTTATTCATGACTTGTTGACTTAAATAGGATACCTAATTCGATAGATATGCCTATGCTGACGAATTTTCCCGTTCCGTCCATCTGCTTATCTGGTTTTGGGATCCACATTAACGTTTCCAAAAGAATACTCTAAAGCAGTCTTGAAGCTTTCTTAAAACACGACAGTTTCCACTTCACTCTGTTCTTGAATATTTATTCAGTGCTTTGAACCCATTTCAGTAGATTGTGATTCCACTAAATAACCAAAAGTCTATGAGGTGTATGTCTATTTGTACTCAAAATTATTTTCATTTTCTTGATATTCACAAATTTTATTTGTCACCTTTAGTCAAGATGATGCAGTAAAATGTCTTATCTCGTCAGCTTGCTATTAGGCATGCTTTCAGTTAGCATTATTAAGACAAATCTTTGACGCAAAGACACTGTGGCCTGACAGAAATGTTGAAATGAAGTTTAAAAAAACTTTAGACAAAAGCAAACCTTTTAACCTCCGAATAACAATAATTAAAACACTCATTTTAATAACACAAATCCAAACGAATCCTGAATGACATACAGTCATTAGTTTATTTCCTCATTAAATACCTGCGTAATCCAGTGAAGCTTCTGGAAGTAAATCATGTCCTAGGTATGGTTGGCATGCGTATTCGTTATTGATAACAATCTATTGGCTGAGTTATAGTGCTGAAATACCCTCTTTTTGTTTTTTGTTTACCCTACTGTTATTCTTTTATTGATTTGTCACTTATTCCTATATGTTGAGCAGTGTACCATTTTGAACTGATGCAATTTTATGTAGTTCTAAGTTGACTTTTCTCTCAATCTACTAATCTGATTCTGTTAAAAAAATATTTTAATCGTGTAAATGACGATTTTTCACAAAATGAAGTGTTCAATAGTAAGATGAATTTTAACAATAATAATAACGGCTTTATTTTGCAAGATATTTCGGGAATACTGTACAGAACTTTCAGCATGTCATTTAAAAGAATTTTAGACAACCGTTTTCATAATGTCTTTCATAGATATTGTCTGTTCTTGGGGCTCACTAGTAGATCTAAGTTTATGGTGAAGTTCATCTTGTATCAGTATGGTTGGGTTCAAATCCTATCTAAAACTTGTAGTACACAGAATACCATCAGTTAACCTCACCCATTTTCTAAGTATCAGGGCTTTACGGATATTCAAAAATGGAAGAACATTAACAGTAGTGCACCAGAAAGATTGGAAACTTCTTCGAAATGTAGAACAAATATTTCAACGAAGGAAATCTTTTACAAAGAATTTATTTTCGAAAGCAGTAAAATCGTACATATATATTAAATTTTCTTTTTTAATCGTTGCATATCTTTGATGAGATGGCATTATAGTGCGTTTTTTTCAAAAATGGATGTATGTTTTTGTTATTAGGGTAAAAATCTTGAAACGGGAGCATATGAGAGGTATTTATGAAGCCAGTGTCACTCATTAATTTAAAGAAACATGGCAGTATTAAGTAAAAATATTCTACTAAGACAAGTCTAAGCTAAGTTTATGTGACAATTTAATTGGTTGTGGCTAGCAGTGGAATATGGGACTCTCTTTTCGTCCAACTTGGGACTTACCAACTGAATGTACGTGCGATCCAGTGGGTGATGGCTTCCTCTCTGGGACTTAAACGCGCTATCTACTAGGCCACTGAGGCATGAGAGCCACTTCTTGTGCAACGGTTATTAGTTATTATTATTTATTGATACTTGTAATTTCCTACTGTTATACTGGGTCCAACTGATCGACCCTTATTAGCATATTGGCTTCCATGCGCATACCTTGATATTACCTGATTATTCACTGTTATAATTTTCTTCAGCATGTCTTGCAGTGAAATCCAGGACGCATGTATCATCCTACTTGGGACCGGTCAGATGGACATGAGTGACAATCAAGAAATGTAAATAGAACGAAAACATAATAATGGTAATTATAATGGGAAATAAAGTAAATTTGAAATAAAATAAACCCAGAAACATCAGAGTGATCAGTGTACGGTATTAGTTAACCGTTTTTTCACTATGGCAACGAAAGATTTAACAAGTTGTTTTTTGTGTACATAGTTCTGGCTTCCTATTTAGAATTCACAAGAATTCTTCAAAAATGTAAGCGTATATCAACCGTTAGTGAATAGGCATATTCAAAAGTTTGAAAATTTACTGAACAGGATCTATAGACAAGCCTGTTAAGATTGCAAATATTACACCACTGATGAATAAAGTTCGCGAAATCAGTTCTTCTTACTATCCTAGTAGGGAAAAATTACATAGTGCAAAAGTGTTCATTTAATTGACAGCTCCACTTTGGGGAACTCAGCATACATGTGTAGACATAAGATCACTGTTCAACTTCTGGCAATACCTGGAACAGTCACGAATCATAGGTATTCTTTTACACTACAAACTTATTCATGTCGATTGTCCGAAATATAGCAAATGATACATAATAATTCTTCAATAAGGATACAAATCTTTCGAAGTATATGACTTCAGTTTATAAGTTTAAGTAATCCCTACAGTGTATGTCGTACAAATTTCCGATATGATCTCAAAATATATCACAAACAACAGTCAGATAGTTTTTACCTGAATAAGTTTTGAAACAAGTAAGTCAAAAACTGGAAGCCAGTTCATGCCAGTTAACAGACTGAAAGTTTAGATCTTCTTCTTATGCATTCTTATAAATACTGAATAAACTTAAGCATAAAAATCTTTAACCTAAATAGTATCGTTTCATATGTTTTGTTCTCAGACTGTACAGTCACATAAACGATGGTACTTAAAATATGCTTTTTCTTCTATGACTTATTGAGGATCTTCATACTACCACTTAGCTGCCAATCCATATCAGTGGTAAGTTCAAGCTGCCTAATAAATGAAGTCAAAGTCTACTCTAAAGCTTGGTGCTGATTGTTTCACTAATCATGTAGTGTGAAAGATATTTATTAGACTGACATACCGTACGTACTTATCAGGATTGGGACCATGAGAAAAGCCGAGGTGCGTAACTTCAATATTATCAAGGGGTATTTTTTTTCTACTGCAGTTAGCTGTATGTTGCATGGTTTTTGGCGACTCAACAACGATTTTCACCTGGCTCTTAATAGGGCATTATTTTGCCGTATTCTGCAACCGAATCACGATCTATGCATCACTTCATTTCTACTAAACAGTTGTTTGCGCATACTAATCTGTAAGTACGGTTTATTTTATTATCAACATGATTAGACTAAACAAATGATGGAATGAAGAGAAAAAAAATAGTATTTCAACGCCTCCGTCTTATTTTGTACATAGTATCAGATATTGTTTGTTCTATTGAGTCAGTCAGCTCTAATTTATGAACAGTATGTGATAAGTCATTGTTAATATTATTACTTTAAAACTAAATATGCTGGTTCGCTGATTTACATCAATAATATCTTTTTTCCATTTGATCAAGGCGAAACTACAAGAAACACACAATAAAATAAATCCATTCTATTTGAAGGCTTCTTATCACCTTTAATCAAGTTGCATTGAATGTTAGAGATAATAAATAAAATTACACATTAATCAGGGATGAAATCTTTTTAAATCAATGAACTCCTGAAAAACCCTGCTGAGGCATCAAATTGCACCCGAGGCTGAAGAAAGTTGCACTGTAATTAAAAGACCTTAGTATCTGTATCGTCATTCTTTCGCGTTACAGCACGATGTTAAGCTGAACGGAATCAAAAAGAAATATAGTAAAAAGTTTATGGTGAGATGGAATAGCTCATATAGACGAAACGCCTTCAGCCGCTTTCAAAGATGGCTCTTCACCACAAATAAACTAACTAGGGATTTACTTGTGGTTTTGAAGTTGAATGTATTTAGATGAGACAAGTTTCAGTTGCTGTCTATTTTAGTTTTCCATGAAAGTTAAAAATCCCGTATTTAATCTTAATGACCCAGCTGTCGGTTTTGTGTCCATGTTTTCCAATGATTGGTAACGTACCTGAAGTAAGATCTTCCACAGCTGATATCTGTCAGGAAAAGGTATTTGTTTTTCTTTTTTCAAAGTTCGTTTACATTTGCTTTTTCTGACTTCCCTTAGAAGTTTATCACTGTTGCTTGTCGAATGTAGCTCATCATTTAATAAAGTATTTGTTTAACAAGATGCACTATTTATCAAAGTATACTCTTCCACCAGTCAGTTTTCTCGATAATATTCGCTCAAAAGAGATTTTTCTTGTTGATCGACTTGAGTTACCACGAAGGACTGAAAACGTTTCTTTGATTTTCTTCCAAGTATTGAAACGGAAATAGCAGATAATTTTATCTGCCTCTGAAATCTCATTGCATACTAAATGATTCCGATAACCACAGCTTATACAGTCAATAGTCATTTTCTAATGAATAATCCTTAAAATGTACTGTTTTGAAAACCTTCTCCTTATAGGGTTGTCAAATCGCATTAGCGTGTTTCGATGAGCATCCTTTACTACAGTTACGTATTGATTTATTTATTGCTCTCGCACCAGCTGCATATCTGGGATCTGTTAAAAGTCCTATACGTTATATAGCTCCATTTATAAAAGCAGTTGAACCAGTTGTTGAATGGTTTGGAAACGGTGAATTTTTGCCATCAAGCAAAATTATGCATTTTTTGGGCACATTCGTATGCAAACCCAATCACATCCCTTTTGTATGCAGTAACATAATATATTTGATCGCTGGGTACAATGTCAAAAATACGAATGTGGTAAGCTGCTTCCTAATAATTACGTGTCATATTTCCTCCTTTTTTATTTCGTTCACTTAAAGTATTTCCTAAGCAATGAAATAAACGTCATCTTGAAGATACTATGAAGATAAAGGACAATTACTGTTAAAACTCTTAACGTGATGCTAGATGCAGTCTAAAGTAATAGACAGTTACTGGTACCTAGAAAGTTCTACTTTTTCCTGGACAGACCGACAAAATCAATGTAGAACCCTTCACTCAAGTGCATTGTTTCAAGATATTAGATTTCACAGCAACTTAAAAAGGAGAATCATACCGAAAAAGTGTAAATGTATCACGGTAGACAAAGAAAAAAGATGAACATAGAACCTCATACACAAGTGCATTGTTTCAAGATATCAGATTTCACAGCAACTTAAAAAGGAGAATCATACCGAAAAAGTGTAAATGTATCACGGTAGACAAAGAAAAAAGATGAACATAGAACCTCATACACAAGTGCATTGTTTCAAGATATCAGATTTCACAGCAACTTAAAAAACAACAGGACTGACACCAGAGTAGTTAAAGTTGTATGGGAGGAGAGAGAATTTGAAAATGAAGGTTGGTGAAGATATTCAAGTTTCAGAAGACTTCAAAGAGGGTATATATCTACACCATCGAGACTGATTTCCAGCTGTGTCGCCAAGAGTCCTTAATCACTGACTCCTATGGTTTCGGGGGACCCATCCACGCGGTCTACACTTGCCCATATAAGTGAGACCAAGAGTCAGAGATTTCATGGACTGGTACTAGGTCTCGGTCTGGCCACCATGAGCCTTCTTCTAATCCAATCTGACGTCTGCTAACTATGCACGTCGAGTTAGGCGATGGCTTTGTATGCGCAACATATATCCAAACCACTTCATCTGCTGAAGGTCTTCACGTTGCAATACAATGTCGTCTACGTACTCCAAGTCAACCAGACGTCCTCCAAGGGGTAAGTAGGTCAATTCATATGAAGTCAGACGTACCTAAAGTTATGTCCATTAGTACATCTACAACGAAATTAAGCAGGAACGGTGGCAGTGGGTATCCAAGGTGGACGCGATTCAGATGACAACCCTCCATATGGCCTTACACGACTGCGTGAGTTCGAGTGGGGAGCTTTGATTAACGTTGCATGTTTACTCAGCACTCGTTTCACATTCAGACAGTGCCATAACATCTCACGATTGACAGAGTCGAATGCCGCCTTTATGTCAAGAAATATGGCAAGTTTCGGCTGCGGGTAGAGTATGTCTGTGTTCCAGAACCTGTCTTAGGGTAAAAATATGATCGGTGCACCCTCATCCAGGTCTATCTGAAACCTGTCCTGTTTGCTCGAGTTTGCTGTTCTCGAGCTCCAGTTAGGCATCAGATAACTATGGACTCTAGGACCTTGGATACAATATAAGTCAAACTAATTCCCCTATGGTTTTCACAAGAAGATTTCTCTCCCTTATTTGACTGGGATGATCAGTGAAGTAGACCAGTCTGACTGCACTACCTCTGACTCTCAAACACTATCTAGTACTTCTGTTACCCTGCCCAGTAATTTCCTACCTCCATCCCTAAACCTTCAGGTGGTAGACCGTCAGGTTCTGCTACTTTGTATCGTCTCAGGTTCTAAACGGTCTTCTAAGCTTCGAGGTCCAACATATACGTCCCATTCAAGTTCAGGCTGAATGCGGGGGAACTAAGTGAAGCAGTGGACCAGTTGATCTGTACTTCAGATTGTTCCACTCAGGGTTCTAGCCGTCTGTCGTGAGAGGTTATCAGTGTCCCATCCTTTTCGGTTATGGTTTCACTAACCATTGTCTTTTCCTTGCTATTCTTCTTGATAGGTAAGAATAGTTTCTGTGTATCATCAAATACTGATGCTTTCTACACCTTTCTCACTTTCACCGCTCACCATTGCTCGTTATCATTGCGAAGACTGGTGGTCAATTTGCGTTTGAGTCGCTTTCGCTCTTCATTGTGGTCAGAGACGGGTGTAGTGAGTTTTCTGGCATCAGTCAGTTTGGATGAGGTTGCAGGAATCCTACGTCGTTTGCTAACTTTCGGGTTTAGGCTATAAACTTTCCTTACCGCTGTTTCGACAGCAGACCTAGTATGGGATCAGTTTTCCTCAGGATGAGCATTGCTATCTTGTTCAGATAAATGCTTCGCTATCTCCTACATTCCAGTTGAGCACAGATAGGCTTTACTGATGCCTGTTTTCTGCGACCAGTAAGGCATAGACATACACCAGCCGGTACTAGCGCGTTGTCGGAGTCCAAACAGGTACTCGAGAAACAGTGGCAATCCCCCACTGGTCTTCTTCAACGGTGGCTTATAGCAGCATGATCTAACTGCGTCTATCATCGGTTTGATGTCTGTGGATGCCATATGAGACAGTGTCTGTCGTGGTGGGTTTAAGTTCGAGTTGCTTTCGCTCTTCATTGTGGTCAGAGCGCGCTGTTATGAGTTTTATGGAATCATTAGGAGCGGAAGTTTATCTGAACACCCTGATGTATTTGCTCAATGCATTTCAAATAATCGGGCCACACATTTACTTTCCAAGTAGATTTATGCTAACCTGAAGGTTGAGAGGATAACTATAACAATAGGTGATTAAAATTAAGAAAGATGAGAGCAAACAGGAGTAGCGATGTAGTTGATCCCAATCTTGGTAAGAAAGGGAATTTTACCAAGGTATGTGAAGTGTGATTAGAAACTGTTTTTGCACACATAAGGTTGGTTTCAATTTGTGTATGGCTATCGCTTCCGCAAATCTCAGTATGATTTCCTGACTGTTTCTATCTAAAACTTTGGAAGCTGTTTGAGCATTAATTTTGTAACCTGTTTCTATAATATGTTTAGCTATAGAGGACGAGGGTAATCTCCCACCTGCGCCTATCAGAGTTTCACACTTCATTTGTTTTTGAAGCCATTTAGGTGCATGTTCTCCTCCCTTCAACTGCATGGTTCGATTACTTCTCTTTATGTATGTGTGACCACACACATGTAAATTGGTAAACACAGCGGGGTGTGACGTAATCATTTGTGCAGTGTTTAGTTTCGTGGCGAAGCACGTGGTTTTTCTTTTCCACAATGATGAGCTTAGTTGCATAGTATGTTTTCCTTAATGGTTGATATTAGCCTACGTCTCAAAATTTTACCATTCAACTCCCCTCTGTATGGCGGCGTGATAACGACTCTTTCTTAGGAATCGTGTTTAAATTTGGCTTTGGTTCTACCTAACTTCTACAATGGTTTGTAAACTTCAAAGGATATCCATTTTCCATAAGTGTTTTGGTCAGTAGTTTTATACCTTCATCCATCTTGTCTGAAGTACAGATACGAGAAATTCTATTAAACAGGCATTTTATTATACCTTGCTTGTGTTGGATCGGACAAAAACTGTGAAAATTCAGACATTGTCCGGTTCATGTAGGCTTTCTGTAGACTGGCCATCTTATTGAACCATCTCCTTGTTGACTGAAGAGTATGTCTTAGAATTGCAGATGATTATTATTCTTTTTCTCAAAAGTTGGGCTGATATGATTTTGTACGGTATTGAGTCTCTTTAGAAACAAACCATATCCTCATTCTTCTCGCAATTTACTATGACGTCATCGACGTAACTCTTTTAGAATTAAACTGTAGCGATGGGTTCTCAATCCAGGTTTTCTATTTGTAAGCGATAAATGCGAGATGGTAAGGGTTCTTCAGGCACTACCCAGAGCTACACCTTTAACTTGTTGACAGTATTCGACTTCATATGTGTAATGAACTTTTCTCGGTTACACCAATATTAGTTCCCTCAGAAAAGCTGAAGTAGTAGGGAACGGGAGGTTTCTAGAAGATATGTATTCACAGAATGATAATTGTCTTTCACAATAGCACGTTAGTGAATAAAATATTTGCATCAAAATGGTACACAGTCTTATTTTTGATATTCACATTACTAGAACAACAACAATTTGGAAAGTATCTTTTAATGAAAACTGTCAGAATCGTTTCGAACTGGATCTAACATTTTCGCCGAGCATTTCGCCATTTTATGTATGGGTAAACGACACGAAGTAGTTGATCCATTGAGTTGAGAGGCATAACAATAGCTGTTGAGTGGTATTCATTAGAGAAGAGGTTTTTCTGTTTACAGCTTATTGCCATGCTTACATCAGTGAGTCCATGAAAGCTAAGCATTGGGTCTCCGGGTACTCGTGAACTGGATTTTGAAGATATACACCACTAACCAGTTGAGGTGAAGTTAATGATCACACTTGGGTCCTGCATTCGTGTTTTAGAAAGGCAACATGCACTCGTGGTTCTAGATTCCGGAGTTCTGGCGAGCGATGCCTGCCGTCCCATTTTTTCCTAGGGTTTGTAAGTTGAAGGATGCCATTTGAAACCGACAGCGGGGTCTTAAGAAACTAGGAATGGTGTTTCAATGGCTTGTGTGGTCGGCACTGGTTGCAGGGTGAGAGATCGATCAAGTTGTGTGAGTCTTAATGTAATCACGAGATGTGAATCCTAGGGAGGAGACAGAGGTTAGGAGGGCAAGTTATGTTTTACTGGGTGTTGTTTACTACTAAAAGTATGCGGGCAGTTGACAATTTCCGGCTGTCCACACTCCGTTGGAAGTATTTCTGCAGGGTACCTGAAAGAGAAAAATATTTGTGTAACCGCAAACATCTGCTTGACGCCTGTCACACGCAGCATTTTGAGGGCTGTTGACTTCCGATTTTATTTTTCTGATGCCGAATAGAAAAGTCCCATACTACTGGCACCGGAAGACCACAGGGCAGTAAGGAGTGTGACATTTTGGGGGCCAACCTCTTTTAACCCCGCTTCCCACCAAGGCGGCGGCATCAGTGTGGCGCTGCTCGTCATTCGTCAGAAACGCCTAACTGCTGTCGCACCCCATCCATCCAGCAGTACGACACAATCATGGGACCTCCATCATACTGTAGCAAATTACACCGTGATGGTAACTGCTTTTCGTCTTTTGA